TCAATCAAAGTATGTGCCTAAACTATTGACACAGTTTTGCCATCTTAACAGTAGTTTATTTATGCCAACAGCAAAGAAGCCTGCAGAATAAGTGATGATGAAAGCGTGAAAGGGATTTGGCATTTTCAACAGCTTGTTGAGAATTGAATATTTTTCCTTGCAAGAAGTGGTCCAAAGCCTGGAAGAAGTGGCAGTCATTTGTTTCAAGATCTGGTGAATAAAGTGAATGACAGAGAGTTTCCAAATATAATCTCTGTAATTTGAGCAGCGTTGTTTGTACAACATGTGGTCCATCATCTTGTAAGAGGATTTGCCTGTCTCTATTGACCAAGTCTCAGCTGCTTCATACCAAGCATCCTCATCATGTCATCCAATTCGTTGCAGCCAACATCCAGTGTAATTGATTGACCAGGTTTCATGAAGCTGTAGTGGATAATACCAGTGCTGTATTGGTGATAATAACACCAAACAGACATCATTAGCTTTTTTAATATATAAATATTAGATTTTTGACTCTGTTTCAGCACTTCATCTTTATCCACCATTGTGCTGAATACTTGGGATTGTCAAAATCAATCCATTTTTCATCACACCTAACAATATGGTCTAGAAATGGTTCACTTTTATGTCGTGACAACAAAGAAAGGCAAGCTTCCAGACGATTTCTCTTCTGAAACTCATTTAATTCATGCAGTACCCATCTATCCAGCTTATTTACTTCGCCATTTGTTTCAAATGGTCCAATATTGTTGGAATAGTAATGTCAAACCTTGGTGCTAATTCACGTGTAGGTTGAGATGGATTTGATTTTCAGCCAATACAGCTTTCAGCTCCTCATTACCCACCTTGGTTTCAGGTCACACAAGTGGCTCATTTTCAAGATTAAAAGCACCAAAACAGAATTCCTCAAACCATTGACATACTGTGCATTCATTAGCCTTATCCTTCCCAAACACTTCATTGATACTCCGAGCTGTCTGTGCAGCATTTGTTCCATGACAGAACTCATATTCCAAAATAACACAAATTTTTGACTTATCCATGGTTTGACAAAAATTGCTCTTAAAAAAAACTTTGAAAGATAATCACAAGTCAAACCATAAATTTGAAAGAATGAGGATGTGCCTTCACAATAAAAATAAAACAAGAAGTATCAAAGTGAAATGTCAGAGATTTCAACTGTCAAACTTAGTACTTAAGGAAATAGGACATTTCATACTTAATAACCTAATAGCTTATTGAAATAGTTTTCTAGAGAAGTGACTCCAAAATGAGCCTATTTGGTATTGTGTGTATTTGTTTTCAGAATACATTATTAAAAGCTAACAACTGGTGAAATATTTGAGAAGTATTTCTAATGTTTGTATTCTATCTTTATAAACATCATTTGTGTTTTATAATATGAAGATACACTGTTTTAAAAAAAAACACCTTTCTTTTAACAGCATATTTTAAAAATTGTATTCCTTCTTTCTTTTCCCTACTGGAAGATATAAAGAGATAATTATAATACAAATGATACAGTAATAATGAGTTTGCCTCTTATGTTACTGTAAGAGCTCATAGGAAGGTCCCCATGGAAAGACACTAAATCTGTGGAAGTCAGAAAGAAAACCCAAGAGATGAATGCTCTGCTCTGTGGTGTCTTCCAGAAAAGTCTCATTAAGTTGTCCAATATTAAGTAAAAGAACAGGTATTCATTTGTATCAGAAAAATAGTCTATTTTCTAATTCTGATGTTTACTTACCTAGGATGTGAATAATGACCAGAGTGTTCTGACCATAAGTGATATAAGGTTTTTATCAGCCTCTCATCCCAGAAGATTCCAAGAGGATAATTCTCTCAGGGGGCCCCTAACCACATATCAGAGAGCATTCTAATGGAGAAAAAAGGCTCTGACTTTAAAGCTGTTTAAATTTACTAAATTCTGCTCTTCATTTGTCATTCTCTCATTTCCTTTTGTATATCCTCATGGCAAAAACCAAAGACCACCAAAGTAGTCCCTTCTCATTTGTACCTTGGGCCAGCTCAGGTAGGATTTCCTTTGAAGTTGGTAATTTGGAATTTTTGGTCTCTACTGTGAGCTGTTGCTATAGTAATGCATACATTTACTAACTTTGTCATCAAAAGGAGGAATGGGTATGTATATTTATTAACTTCAATAGAAGAGTGTAGTGTTCCTTGTGGTTTTACTTCACATCACCTACCTATATCAAGATTTTCATTTCTAATTGAAGGGTTACATATTACATGCTATTTTTTTTCTTTTTTATAGTTTAGTTTTCTAAAAAATATATAATGAATACAGGAGAATCCTGTGTTCACATCTAATCTGCTGAGATATAATGATTAGAATAATAAAATGCTAAGAGTACAGATGATGATGATGAAATAGCATAGAATTTTGAATTTGCTTACAATCAATTTTGCACTCTTTTCAACAGTGCATGTGTCATCTCAAATAATCACCAAATAAACTGCTATATAAGTAGAATTGACATACTTCTTGTAATGAAAAAGCCTTGGAGAAATAAAATAACTTGCTTGTATTCACTCACCTAAGTGATGAAGATGAAATTGAAATGGGAAGTAGAGAAGGAAGGGGAATTATGTCAGCTTAATGTCTACTATCTACTACATGACAGATACAATTTTAGGGAAATGATGCACGTTATTTTCATATGAATCACTTAAATATGATAATAAGGAAACTTGCAGAAGTTAGAGAGCTTGATTATGCCTGGTAAACAGCTAGTAAATTTATGAGCTAGAAAATGGCCCACTGGGAATTTAAATTCCAAACACTCTTATTTTGAAGCACATGCTAAGTTATGAATGTCTTCGGGGAGTTTTTGGTTTAGTAGAGTATTTTGGGGGAGGAATGGAAACCCTCCCTCATAACTTGATGTTAAACCATCAGGACGGCACTGCCAGCATGCTGAGAAGAGGGCAAGGATGACTCAGTAAGCCTGACTTCTTCCTCTTTCCAACTGCACATTCTTTGTCCATGACATTTTCCATACTCAGGAATTCTAACTTTGGCTTGTGCTCTTTCAAATGTTATAGGTCTCTTCTTTTTAGATCTTGGACAGTTTGCAAAATGCACTGGAATAATCATGAGTTCATGCCCTGGCTCCTCAGCTTACTGGCTGTGCTCACACAAGCTACAAACTTACCTTTTCTGAGTTATTCCTTTTCAGTAAAGAAACAATAAAATCATATAGTTTTATTATGAAGACCTGAGGAAATAGTATGAGTGAGCACTTCTCTTCTACTCTGACATCATTTACCATGAGGCTATGAAAAAACTCAGAGTAGATATGTTCAGTCAAAGCAGAATTGTATGGCACTTAGGACCATTCAGTAGGTATTGAGTCAGTAGGTGTTTGGTCAGGTGTTGAGGGGAGTGTTCAACAATGCTGCTGCTTTCATATGTCTATCCTTTTATGTAACATTTGTATCTAGAGAGCCAGACATTGGGCTACATTACAGGTGAGCAATGAGTATTGCTGTGGCATAACAGAGCAGAACCAACATGCATATTCTTGCAGGTGGACAGAACAGATAGCAGTGAATCCTTAACATGAAACAATCCTGTACCTAGAAACATCAATAGTCATTATCAGAAATACTGTGTCCTGGAATCAGGTATTCTAGATGACAGATTTGACTGAGTTTCAGAAATAAAATACCATATCCTAATGAAAGTTGTTGATTCTGCCTTGTAAACAAAAGGCAGGCTGTCTGTTGTTAAGGACCTGGGATTTCAGGTGATTGACTTAGATGGAGACTAGCTTCTGTATATTTGATGACTTTTTCATGGTTTTAGCTTCCATCAACTTGATGCTTAACATCTGTCTTTTATACGTGTGCCACACAGACCAGCCTTATTCTGGACAATTCGATCACATGCTTGAATCACCCTGCCTTAGTCTCCTGACTTTCTCAGAGCTACATCAAGCCCTGGGAGGAGATGAGTCCTACTCCTGGGAGCACACTTTTAAAATACAACCAACCAATCCAGAGACAACACTCCCAACTTCCCCTTTTATTGAGTTCTTATATGAGAGACCACTATGGACATGCACTCTGGTACCTTAGGGCCAGGTACCAACAACTCGGGACAGCCCCCATGCCCCAGAGCCTGCCAAAATCACTGAATCCAGCCAATCATTATCCTCTTGCCCTGCCTCTTCTATTCATTGCCTCTGAAACCTCAATAAAGGCTATTGCCCATAGTTTTCCCCTCTCCTTTTTCCTTAGACCAGCTTTAGAGCCTCCTTGCCCATGGAGTGGCAGAGGAAACTGCAAGAAATAAACTATTTTTCAATGGTAGTCTTTTCCCAATCTTTTGGCTTACCATACTTTATATTTTCTATTGATCCTTGAAACAAAAGATAAGGTCCAATCCCAGTAAATGGTGTATAAGGTGGTTCTGGGAAATACAGCATAACTCAAGTGTTCTGTGTGGCTCTCAGGAGTACCATCCCTCCTGCCTCCAGTGGATATTAGTTATGAGAGCTGAGACGAAAGGGTCCAGGGAACGTCCTTTTGAGACAGAAAATCTGAAGAGCAGTTTGATCCTTAAATTTTGGGGTGCATCATAACCATCTGTGGAGTTGATTAAATAGGCAGATGTGGGGTTCTGTCATTGAGAGATCCCTATTTAGTAGATGTGGTATATGGCTTAGTGACCTGCTTGACTTAATTTACTTCACCGTCAGTCACACCCCACAATCCAAGAGCTGTTGATGTGGGGCCTGACCAACTCTCTTGTCTCACTCTGTCCCTCTGTTTCTCATCCATAAAAGAAGGCTTGGAGTTAGATGATCTTCAACAGTCAAATAAAATGTTAATCTTTTCTTAGAATGAATCCTGACCCAGTATTATTCTGATCATGGTAACTGATTGTTCTTTTATTGTATTTGCATTTTTATTTTTTAGTGGTGTTTTTGTTCCATAGCTGCAAAGCAAAGAGCACAAAGAAGAAACACACTTACAGTAGCCTGGTGTTTTTCTGCTTTCTCAGATGTCTCTTTAAGTTGATTCTGCAGGGCCTCCTGAAGAGACTTCATTTCTTCTCTAGTTTAGTAGAAAATAGAGAGCAAAAGAGAAAAAAAATAATATAATTCTATTATTTCCTATGTACCTTATGAAAGGAGGCTTTGCTGTGTACCTACATTTAGGAAACAGACAACTAGAGTTGTATCAAGCCACACTTAAGCATACAAGATACATCTGAGGACTCTGGGAATAAACGGCTTTCTTTCATGCAAATACTAAAAGCAAAAAAATTGCCCTGCTATTATGTTTCATAATATAAGAATCCCGCTGTGTGAATCATCCATGAGGCACATAATGTGTTAATTCAAATCAATATAATAATTCAAGTTGAAAACAATTTCACTGACAGAATGCCATGGTGCGAACATGCTGGTTAGAAAAAGTCACCATATACTTGCTGCTAGCATAAAATTACTGTTCCCTTCTGGTGCTCCTAATTGATTAATTCTAAAGCATTATGCTTTAGACATCCTTCATAAGGCCTGAGACTTTCCATAAAAACAAAGGGAAAAGAGACTTATTTCTAACTTGAGGGCTCATTTAATGGGGATAAGAAAGAAAGTGCACTCCTATGCATATATACGTGTCTCAAGCTCACTAATACATTTGGCCTTGACTCCATTGTTAAAATTAGAAACATTTCCCTAAATCTGTATTGCTTTTAAGAGTTTAGAATTTACTCATTTATGACGAATCATACTATCTTTCTGTGCCTTGATTTTATCACCCAAGCTATCACTTCAAACAATCAGATATTATTAGATAATGGTTAGCGTGTGTTTCTTGGGGTGTGTGTGTGTGTGTGTGTGTGTGTGTGTGTGTGTGTTCATTCTAGCTAGAGAAACTCCTTCAAAGCAATAGCAACAATAAAACAGAAACCTGTTCTAGTCTTACTAGCAGCTAAACTATTTAAAATTCCCAACATAGTACCAAAAGGCTAAGTCTGGAAATTTGGACAAATGACAGAACTTCCCATACTCAGCCTCTTCATCCATAAAATAGACACAATGATAGAAATACCTTTAGGCTTGTGGTCATATTTTAGATGACATAATGCAAGCAAAATGCTTTGCACGATGCCTGGAAAAGAATTACTTAATAAATGTTAGATCATTGCAACAGCCACAAGCACCACTCCAGACTCCTGTGTTCATTCTTGGTCCACTGTGTGCTACACAAACAGAAACAGCTCTTTCATCAAGCAGGACTTAATGGTGGCCCCAGAGTCCTTACTCTAGAAAGTCTTATGTCCCAGTCTAAGTTTCGAGAATGTGAGAGAGGATTTATATGTTTATTGGAATCAATTTGGACTTTGTTCAGCAAAGCAAAATATAGTTAGAACAAGTTATAAAACAATTAAGTCATTTTAGTTTTTAGATGATTTATGCTTGCTTAAGTGATGCTTATAATATGCTTTCGCTTAAAGTAGATTTTAAGTTACAACTTCCATTACTGCCTCAACCTGGTTTCATTTATCAGACTTATTTTATGCATGAACACTTAAAATGTGGACTTCTGTGACTACTTCTGATATTTTCCACAAATAGTGCTTGTAGTATAATATAGTGTAATATAATGGAATGGAATATAAATATCTACATATATTGTAGGCTTACAATGTGCAAGGCATTTTTAGAAGCCTCACATCAAACCATGGCATCATATTACAGACAGAAAACTGACAGATAAAGAGATGCTAAAATTGTATTCTAGAGCTGGGGTTCCCATCCTATGGTGAGTTGTATATTAATAATTATTTCATTATATATTACAACATAATAATAATAGAAATAAAGTGTACAATAAATATCATGCACTTGAATCATCGTGAAACCATCTTCCCCCGTGGAAAAATTGTCTTGCATAAAAATGGTCCCTGGTGCCAAAAAGGCTGGAGGACTGCTGTTCTAGGGTCTATGTGCTCAAACTCTAGAAAGTCATTATTCCACCTTTACTGAGAGAGAGAAGAAGGGAGGAAGGAAGGAAGGAAGGAAGGAAGGAAGGAAGGAAGGAAGGAAGGAAGGAAGGAAGGAAGGAAGGAAGGAAGGAAGGAAGGATCAATCTACATATTACCACTAACACTCAAATCTTCAACAAGCAATAAATGAAGCAGAATAAAGTTATATTTCCTACTGAACAAAAGTTGTAATAAAATATAATCATTTTAATTTAAGTTTTTGGATTGAATTTCACAAAAATGAAATTATAAAACATATTTTGTTAAAATAAAAAGGGAGCCAAGTGCAGTGGCTCACACCTTTTTTTTATTTCAGCATATCACTGGGGTACAAATATTTAGATTACATATGTTGCCTTTACCACACCCAAGTAAGAGCTTCAAACGTGTCCATCCCCCAGACAGTGCACATCGCACCCATTAGGTGGGAATATACCCATCCCTTTCTCCTCCCTCATACCTGCCTGACACCAAATGAATGTTACTAGTATACATGTACATAGTGTTGATCAATTAATACCAATTTGATGGCGAGTACATTTGGGAAGCCAAGGTGTGAGGATTGCTTGTGGCCAGGATTTCAAGACCAGCCTAAGGAATATAGTAAGAACTTGTCTCTACAAAAAGTAGAAAATTAGCCAGCCATGGTGATGTGCACCTGTAGTCCTAGTTACTCGGGAAGCTCAGGTAGGAAAAACTGCTTGAGCCCATGAGTTTGTGCTATGACCAGGCCACTGCACTCTAGCCCAGGTGAGAGGGAAACCCATCTCAAAAAATAATAATAATTAGGAGTGTGTGTGCATAAATATGTACATAGGTGTATATACTCTTTTCAAAAAAGTCCCCCATACTGACATCTAGAGGCAATGTGGGGACCAAGAAAAAAAATAATAAACAGTAAAATCTGTTAACAAAGACTGGAGAAAGTAGAGAATCCTGGACACTTTCCTGCCAAGGAAAGCTATCAGGCAGAACAATGAAGTGAACCTATGTCTTCTAAATCTCTCCATCTCTTCTCTGCCTTCCTGTAGGCTTATTTTTTCTCATGCTCACTGCTCTCATGCTTTAGGTGGCCCTAAATTTCTGCTTTTCAAACTTGCTAAGTGACCCTCCTGTGGGAGATGATTTCTGACCTGTGTCTGCACCACTTCCCACCAACACTGGGATTTGCTAAAACTATGTTTGGCAACTCTAGGGCTCTGTTTGGTACTAACCTGAAGCTTTAATTGTAAAGAATTGATGGCTCCAGGGACACCTGTGACAGAATGCTCAGATGTTGAAATATTGTAGCATGAAATTTTGTTACAAGGAATCTTAAAGGGCAGTTATTTCACACTTTTTCCATCTCACATTATAAATATCAAAATACGCCCAAATCACTCTACATGAAGGCATTTCTTTCAAGTAGTTATTAACTTTTATTTTCATAACATCACAGATGGAGAACTTGACACTATTACACTCATTCTTTTAGGTGTTAGAGAACATTATTGTAAAAATCTTTAGTATACTGAGTTTTAAATTAATTTACAGGAATCTCCACCCACCAACTACTGTAAAGAATGAAATATTGTATTTCTTTTTTTTCTCAAGACAACCTTTCAGATATTTCAGGGTGCTGTCCTATTACCTTGTCTCCTTTTTGTGGTTACATAGTCTCACTCTTTACACGGTGTAGTTTAAAATCTCTTTGTCCACTTAGAGACTCTCCTGTGAATAATATCTAGACTGTCTAAATATTTCTGACAATTTAATACTCAAAAGTCAACACACTGTCATTCTCTCTCTCTCTAACACATGTGCACACCCTTTTCTCTGTCTCTCTTGGTAGAAAGACACTCTCTGATTTTCTCTATGCATAATCATATATGGTCACCCCTTATCCTCTGAGTTTACTTGAATTCTAATTCCAACCACATGGAGAGACTGACTAGTAGCCTCCTGGTTATATTTCCAAAAGAGAAATTCTATGTTATCCAACTTTGTTTTGGTGTCTGCCTTTGAACCAATTAACTATGGCCAGTGGTTTCACAGTCACATAAAAGCAGCAAGCTTCTAGTGGTCACTACCCCAGGTAAAGAAGCAGATGGCAAGGATCTGGAGATAAGTGATCCAGAGGAGAAGGTAACAATTGAGAGCTGGGCCCACAGCCAAACAAAATTTACAATACGCTTCCCTCTTTCAAACTCGGATAAAACTTCTACATTTGCAATAAATTAATGTTTTTATATCCAAAAGTGGTATTTTTATTTCACTATTTTTTAATATACCTAAAATTGGAAATGAGATACTCAGTACCCTTCAGTTACATAACCATGATTTCAATATTCCTCTTTTTAAGTAAATAGCAAAAACTAACATATCAAATGTTATATCCTTTTTAAGAAGTTACCAATTGTTAGAATTGATTTTCATTCTGACTTTAGTTGCATATGTCATAAATTTACACATTTTAAATCACTTTTCTAATTTAGGATAAAACTTTGAAATTGCAATACCAAAATATATGTTCCATTTCATCCTTTCATCAAAATACTTGTTCTATCATTGGGTAATTTTTACACACTATCAATTGTGTATATGATGATCTAAAATTCTTAATAAACCTAATCAATTTTTTTTCAGATTTTCCTGGATATTTTGTCTGTCAGATAGCACAGCCATAGATAATTTAAGAAAACAACAGCAAACTAAGGGAATAGACTTTCCTTATTCCCATAATGCATAAGCCTAGCTCCTTATGTGTGTTCCTCCCATAATGAAGAGAGGCTGACTTTATTGCTTTTTCATTCCATGGTCTTCACTATTGATATTTCTCTGTCATTGTCACTTAGCCATTTTTTCTCACCCTGTTCTACCTTTTTCTTTCTACCTTGATTAGGGTCAGCAAAATAATTCTCCTAAAATATTTCTTTAATTTATCATCTCCTGTAGAACTACCTCAAATAGGTTCTCTATTGCTTATCACTGAAGTCCAGTCTGGGACAACCTTTAAGAGTTTTAATTTTTGGTCCCAGACTTTGCATAAAGATTTATTTTCTAATCTTCTCAGACTCACTCTACCTTCTTAAATCACTATAACCCTCTCACTGGTGATGCACATACATCATGAAAAGGTCATTTCTATTTTTTCTATTTTTCTATATTCTCCTTTCCAATGTGAAATGCTCTATACAAAATAATGATTTTTGGTGTTTCTTGGTCTTTTGGGACCAATTATTTCTTATTTTACTTTATTTTTTTTATTTTTTTGAGAATATAATTTGCTATATATAATATAATATGCTAACTATAATCCCCATGTTGTATAAAAATCTCCTGAACTTATTACTCTTATCTAATGAAACTTAGTACTCTTTCACCAACAATTTTCTAACCACCCCTTCAACTACTGCAGCCCCTAGTAACCACTATTCTACTCTTCAATTATATGAGAGCAGCATTTTTATCTACCATATATGAGTGACATCATGCAGTATTTGTCTTTCAATACCTGCCTTATTTCCCTTAACATAACATCCTCTATGTTGATCCATGTTGTCACAAATGACAATATTTCTTTCTTTGTTATGGTGGAATAGTATTCCAGTATTACTACTGAAAAGATTATTTACAATTCTCCATCACTACCTCAATGACCCACAAATACTTGTGTAATATTAAGCATACATGTTTTAAGAGGTGATTTATTTCAAACCAATAAAATCATTTAAACTGAAGTAGTTTTGGAAACAATCTCAGCTCAATATTTTATTCAAGCACTTTTGCATATTAGACTTTGAAGAGAATTTCACATTCAATAAATAATAATCATATCATTGTACATAATAAAACAGTGTCAATGCAAGACTCAATTTTATATTTCTAACAGATGCTATTGCCTCAATTCAAATGCATGTCAATGATAGGCTTCTCAATCAAGAGCCAAGATCAGTGGAAGAGATAACAGGCTGATGGAGAGGAACGTAGAATTTACTCCATACAGCATCCTTCTAGCAGCTTTTTGTTTTAGAAAGTGAGACAACATGGAAGGCTGTAGCTATTGGGTAAGACACAGTAGAGTTTAAATTCTAATCCAAATTAATATGACTCTCAGCAGTCCACTTAAGCACTTTGAATAATTTCCTATCTATAAACGGAAATAATACCTACTTTACAAGATAGCTGTGAAAATGAAACAAGAAAAAATATATAAAGCATCTAGAAGATTCTCTAGTAAATGCATAACAAATGTGAGCTTGTTTCTGCCTTAAAATACCTTGTTTTGTTTTTTTGGTTTCTCTTTATTTTCTGTTTTGCTCAGAGAAGCAACTTTAAAAAGACATGGCTTTTTATTATCCATAGCGATCTATCTCATAATATATTAATATTTCCCTCAAAAATAAACAAACCAACACTAATAAAATGGTCCTAATTCTACTTGCATTGTCAAAAAGATTATCTTAGTCTTTATCACCTGACCATTATTGTCATAAACAAGTTTTGATTCTGTTAAATGTGGTCCACTGAGGTCAATATTACTGCATATGTTTATTTTTTTATTATTTTATTTTTATTTACTCATTTATTTTTTTTATTTTTTGAGACAGAGTCTCACTCTGTCACTTGGGCTAGAGTACCATGGCATCAGCCTAGCTCACAGCAACCTCAAACTTCTGGGCTCAATCGATCCTGCTGCTTCAGCCTCCCTAGTAGCTGGGACTACAGGCATGCACCACCATGCTTGACTAATTTTTCTGTTTTTAGTAGAGACGGGGTCTCACTCTTGCTCAGGCTGGTCTCAAACTCCTGACCTCAAGTGATCCTCTTGCTTCAGCCTCCTAAGAGTGCTAGGATTACAGGCCTTGTAAGCCATCACGCTTGATCCCATAAGCCAGTTTTATGTGGTCAGTGATAGACATCTACTATTCCTCTCTTTGTAAATCCCCTCTTCCTGCAGCCATCCCATTTCCATCATTGCCAAAAAAGTTCTTCAACCCATCATCCCTGTAGGATTTTTCTTTCTCTTACTATCAAACGGCTCTGCCTGAGCTCTGACTATCTTCTTCTATATCTCCCTAATCCAAGATACTTCATCTTGTATCATTCCTAAAAATTAATTCATTTCTAGCATTCTTCCTAAGTTTCTCAGAGCAAATTGTAGTGGAGCTGGGGAATAGGACCTTTATACATCAGAAGAGCATGGGAACCACAGGCAAATTCACAGAGGGGAATGATGGTCTAGGTCCAGATACCCCCTACCCCCACCTCTTTTCCTCAGGGCACAGAAAAAGCCATACTCAAAATATGCTTTAAATATATATGAGCATACATCTCCTTTCCTATAGTTCTGTGAGGTCATCATTGAAATCCAGCAGTGTTGCAGGTGTGTGGAGTGCACCATCCATATTGAGAAAGTCAAATTCTTCCTCCTCATCCCGGATCCCATTCTCTTCTAGGGTATGATCCATGTTCAGGTTCTTCCCTTCATATTTCCATGTGTAGCTGGCAGCATGTGCGTTATAGGGGAGATACCGGTGTAGGATTTCCCACATTGACTCCAGGGTCCCCACATCTTTAGTCTTAGGATCAAACCAGTGGCTGATGTCCTGACCTGAAACTTCCACGATAGGTTTCAGCAGCACATTCCCCTTATATTCCTCTGCCAGTGGCGTTAGGTCGTACACGTGTCCCAGGTAAGACACCCAGAGGTCTTCGGGTTGGTTATGTTGGGCAACCTCTGCCGGCGTGAAATAGCGACGCTGGAAATACTCAAACTCTGGCCCAGCCACTAGACCCCAGCGCAGCATGGCTCTTGCTCTGTCGGTCACCAGCTCCCTTAGTAGCTTCCTCGCTCCTCTGCATACACTCACTACTACCTCCGCCCTCTCTTGCAGCAGCTAAGGGGAGCACGTTTACCCGCTGACATGGAAACCATTGTCTTTTTCCGGCCACCAGCCACTGAAATTAAACACTATGCGGGTGAGGAGGGGCTAGGGCTGCGCGTGCTCTTGGGAAACGTAGTCTTGCATATGTTTATTGATAGATGGACTTATTAGTATCCATCTTATTAATAAAGTATTAAAGACCTTTAACACTCAAATTGTGATCTGCAAAGAACATCAGCATCACCAAGGAACCTGTTAGAAATGCAGAATCCCAAGCCCCACCCCATATCTACTGTATAAGAATCTGCATTGGAACAAGATTCCGTAGTGAATCACATGTACATTTAAGTGTGCATAAGAAAAGAAATAAATTCTTGCATGTAGAATAAACAGATTATAGTGAAGTTTCTAAATGTAGTTCGACATTATGGAAAAAAAATAGAAAAAGAGAAGCACAGTCTTACCTTTGTTTCTGTCCTAATTCCAGAAGCTTCTGAACATCAGTTTTGGAGGACTGCTCATCATTTTTTAAAGACTGATAAGAAGCGTGGAAAAAAAGAAAGTTAAATTCAAGTGAGAAATTGAGGGTTGCTTTACTTTTGGTTCTATGGTACAATGCATGACTACACCTGTGCCCTGGAACAAGTATGTGAAAACAAGGCATCATGGTCCTCACAGCTCTAAGATGTACAAAATAATCTATGACACCAGTTAGTTAATATACTACCAGTGAGTGAAAGGGGATTGAGTGCAGTCTGAGCTTTTAGAGGTTAGATGGAGAAGAAATCATTTATAAATATCTAAATTTCTTGATAAGTGAATATAAAATATATCTTTTATTCTTCCTTTGAAGTTTAATTATGTTCTCTGCAGACATGTTAAACCAGCTCTGCTTTAGATTCTACAAATACTGGGAAAGATTGAAAGCCTCCCGGCATAAGCTGGGAAATAACACAATTAAAGATTAAACCAGTTAAAAGACATGCACCTGTTTGGTCTTGTCTATTTCTTGCTTACGAGTAATGCATTAGAATACCCCCCAAAAAATAGGGCCATGTAAAATTGCAACTGGTCTTTAAAGACAAAGTGTTAAGAAATATATATATATATATATACACCACCTTTGTCATTAGTATTTATATACTTTGGCAAACTCAGGATTCAGAGACCATGAATTATAGAAGAAAAGCCCCTTGAGCTTTTTCTCATAAAAGAATATGTCCAATTAAGTTTCCTCTAATAACTTTATTATTTATATCCAATAAACTATTTAATAGGGTAACCTGTCATTCTTGACATTAAAAGTGGAAACTAAGGGACAATAATGTTGTTTGCAGAAGAAACAGCTGTGACTTGTAGGGAATTGATAATAGGAAGAAGGGCAAATGCTTTGTTTACTTAAGATTTATTTAACAAATATCCATCATAAATTATGCAAAGACCTATTTGAAGTCATGGTGACTACCTTCACAGATTTTTCAATCTAGTATTGAAAACAAACAATTTTGATGTAGTATGATAAGTACTGTATTAGGGATGTCTTGGAATGAACTTCACAAGACAAAGTCTTCCTTATAATGACTGGCTGGGGTTATCACTGAAGCAGCTAATACACAGTGTTCTGTTTTTTTGGAAAGAGCAGCATCACATATCTACAAAGAAAACAGGAAGAGGAATTAAAATGAGGGAAAACGTCATTATTCTTGGGGTTTACAGTTCAAAGTATATCATGGTCATATGACATCAGGCAGGTCACAAAATCAGCCTTTGACTTCCTCATCAGAAAAACAGAGATGAGAATCCTGAAGATCCTATTTTAAAGAGTTATTGGAGAACTCAAAGGGGATAATAGATGTATGAAAACACTTGGCAAAAAGGGCAATACAAATATGCTTATTCATTTACTGACCCTCTTATATACTCTGGGTATTCATAAGGAAATGAAGATCAAAAAATCGGGGAACTGCACTCAAGAAATAACACAAAAAAGTACAAAACTGAGATACAGAAATGAAACATATAGATATGAAGATGTGGGTGAGCAAGGCACACCCAATTAGGAGAGCTGGAGTGTACCTCCTTATAATTTCCTCAGCAATATCTGGGGAAGTGGAGTATAATTTTCTGAAAATAATCTTAGTTCCTTTAAGGATATCAGAGACTAATATATCTACCAATTAGCCAAAATATTTATTAATTGCCTTATATTACCATCTCATCCAGGTGCTGTGGTTACAGAAACAAATAAGACTTTTGAAGCTTCTATCTTCATGAAGTTCCATTTGAAAAGAAAAATGTACAATGGGCTATATAATTATTCACTCTAAATTTGAAATCTAGAATCATGATTTTTATATTTATATGACTTTGGACGATCCCTGTGGCCTATTTGAGTCTTGTTTCCTATGCATATATGCATACAATTTGATCTTAATTTTGTACAGAGGTTACTAAGAAGATTTAATATGATAAAGCACAATGGCCGACACAAAATAAACAGAAGGCATCTTAAAAATTGCAACTACATTTAGTGTTATAATTGTTACTCTGTCAACAAATGTTATTCCATGAAATTATAGCTTTTTATTAATCAATTTTCCAGACTATAATTAGTTGTATTGACTTTAGGCTACTGGTATAGAGAGACTGAGTGTTCTGGAAATATTGTAAACACTGACCACTTCTGGAAATATCACGATATACTTGCAATATTCTCAATATGTCAGGTATTCCATATCTCTGAGAAGGTGCAGGTATCTTTAGTATTCTTCCCAGTCTTACTTACCTGGTGAATTTCCATTTAATGATAAAATGCAGCTCTGGCATTGAGTTCTATGGAAATCAGTTTGTATCCCCTTTTATTCTAGTGAGTGTTTTCCTAATGTTCTGTGCACATTTCCATCACAGTACTACTATTCCTGCACTGTTATAGTCTGTTCCTACTGGATTGTGGATATATTTTTTTTAATTTTATTTCCATCTTCTCCAGATGTAATATAACCTCTGGAACAAGAGCTTATATGCTGAGTTCAAACACTCTGTCCCATATGCATGCTATTAGTTTCTTAATATTTCTTTAAGTCTGTTTGCTTACCTATAAAATGAGACTAATACTAACTATATTATAGTCTTCTTGTGAAAATTAAATAAAAAATGTAGACCTTGACCATGTGCAAAAGCTTTAGTGGTTACTGACACCATCATCTTCACCATCCTCATGAGACTAAAAAGCTAAGGAGAGTATAGACAGTGGTAACCCAAACCCACATGGTTCAGAAACATGGTTCAGTTCAATAACTAATAGGCTCTGCAGCCAGATTGTCTACATTTAAACTCTAGATGATTTTGTTAAATATAAAAAATAGCTTATCTTCTCTAAGCATGATTTCTCATGTGTAACAAGGAAAAACACAATAATAGTACTACCCTATGTTATGAGCATTAAATCTTATAATACTTGCAAAGTTTTTAGCATAAGTAGATAGTGAATAAATGCAATGTTAAATTGAATATTGAAATATATTGTCAGATATTTCAGAAATTTTTCTTATCAGTTGTATGCCCTATTTTTGCTTTTTTGATAACAATTTCACCATGATAATACATTTTTATAGATGACACTCTCTAAGCCATTCACCCATTTCAGTAATGAGGTTTATTAAAGAATCTTCAGAGCTATCCTGGGGGGAATTTAAAATTCTCTTAGAGTCATCATCCCTATATTCACTTAACTCTTGGCCATAGTTGCATTGTGTCATTTTATGTCAAAAATATATGGGTCAAATTGATCTTCGAAGCTGCGAGGAATTGATGGCTTTGCCAGTCACATGACTTCCTCATTCTCATATTTGCAAACCACAGATTCCTAGACTGTATCTTAAATTGCTCTTATTTTCAAAACTTGTATAATAATAAGAACTATTATAATAAAGCCAAGAAATGTTTTAAAAACTGTTAAAATGCATGTAAATCTCCTAAAGAATATCAAGTAACTGCTCATTCTTAACTGCTAGGAAAGTTAGTTTTCATCTCACCTGAAGGTTGACTTTAATTCCATCAAGTTCTCTTGATGTCTTTGTCAGCTGACGAAGGATGGTGCTTCGCTCCTTAAAGACTTCTTTCAGCTGCTTTTCCAGCTCTTCATAGTCCTGTCTAACACAGAAAGAACAGGCATGAGAGCCCCCCAAATGCTTCTACTCTGTATCAGTCATAATCAGCTCTCATAATTTTAGTAAAATCTAGATTAATTAAAATTTCAGTTACTAGGATATTGTATTGTTATACTTTCATATAAAAGAGAAAAATTCAAAAACCATGCAGTTTTATAAAAAAGATTTAATTTTCCAATGAGGGCTATCCTGGCTCAAGAGCTGTTCCAGGACACTACTGTACATTGTCTATACGTACAAAGTAGTTTATCAGGCCATCTTTGAAAATAGATATTTTTCCTGACATCACACTTTTATCTAAAGGTCCTTAAAATTTTACAGCAAGAGATATGATTTGGAGCAATGTATCTCAGAGACATAGGTTCTGACACTGGGGAACAACAAACTTTGAAGTAGGGGATTTGCTTCTTCCCTGATTTGTAGAAAAGGTAGCCCACTGAAATGGCAATCCCTTCTAAACATGGATAAGAATCCCTATTGCTGTTAAAAAGGTGTCGGGAGAAAAAAAGGACCTATAATAATCAGTTAATAAATATAGTATTTATAGTGAACTTACAATAGCCTTGTTAACAAGGACCATGAATAATGATTCAATTATCTCAGTGTCATACATATATAGATACATTTTCCATTTTTCTTGTATGTTTTCTGCAAGAAGGTAAGACAGGGTAATACTCAAATGTAAAAAAAAAAAAAATGAACTCAGAGAGATTAAGTTATTACCCTAAGGTCCTTCTTATTATAAGAAAGAAAAATCAAGAAATGTGTGTGTGTCTCTGTGTGTGTGTGTGTGTGTGTGTGTGTGTGTACATGTATATTTGGCAGTTGGGGGTAGGGGGCGGAATGAGGAAACAGACAATTGCCAGTACAGCCTAAAACTGTAACTAGGGGAACGTTAAAATGATTAATTGCAGCACATAGGAGAGCTGCTGGTCTAGGGAAGACTTCTTAGGAAAGGAAATATAAAATATATAGGATGTGCTCTGGAAGATAAACAGAAAGTAGCCATATAAAACGGGAATGGATGTGTAAATGCTAATGAAAATAAACTCATCAAATTTTTAAAAAATGAATAAATGTCACAAGATTTGGAGTCCTCATTGGGAAGTAAGAAATTTGCTGCTGACGTGAGGCTGTGGTAAGTATGAGCAAAAGCGTGCAAGCGTCTTAAGTGATGTTTGGGAGTTTGAGCACTGTTTTGAGAATGAAGAGAAGTAATCGAAAGGTTTTAAGCAATGAATGACAGGATCAGACTTATATTTTGGAAAAAGTTGCTAAAATTAGCTAAAAACTTGGGAGTGAATTGGAGCAGGGAAAAACCTGGAGAAGAGAGACTGTCAAGGAAGTTACCATTGCAATAACCCAGGCAAAAGATCATGGTAGCCTAACTAAATCACAAGCAGCTGGGACAGGGAAATTTGAATTGATTTCAGCAGAGCATACAAACTGGAATCAATAGGATATTGTATCTGTGTCAGTTGGTTGGTTGTTTTTAAATTCCTTTGTCTGTGTGTGTTGTGAGGAAAAAGAGAGAGAGAGCTGATTAATAATGAGCCCATGTTTCTGGCTTAAGCAACAGTTGGAGACAGCCCTTCACTGGGAAGAAGTCAAACGAAGAACAGCATTTTTAGTAAAAGATGGGTTGAGAAGTTCAATTTTGATCTTGTAGGAAAATGGCTCAAGCACTCTCAGCTTCAGGTTCTTTGTAAAATGTAACACTGACCTGGCATTTTTATGTGTTAAATGGAGTACCTTATGTAAAGCTTTGAACCCGTAATAGGTCACAAATTAAAATATTATCTATAACTTCTTTTGCTGAGAAATATGATGAATTTACAGTCATTCTGCAGAATTATAAAGAAATTAGATCTACCAATGGCCTTTGTGATAATTAATAAATGCATCTCATCTAGAATAGGCTTCTATTACAATTCTTTGCTTTTTCTCCTATGCTAAATGTAGGTCTTTAGCACTCTTCACATTCTTCTTATTAAAAGGAAATTGGAATGACCCACTGCTGAGAACCACAATATTTCTTGCTGGCCTTGAGAATTTCACTGATGAATAATAATCAGCCAGTAATAGACAGTTATCAATGCCCAAGGTTTCCATTCAGTCCTACTGACAAAGTCAAATAACAAATGGCAAGGCAATTTTCAATTTCTTCCAATTTTACAAACTTTATGCCCCAGTTTGTTTCTCCTGAACAATAAAAACATCTCCAAAATCATCTTAAGTGACCATAGTAAATCATAATGGTAGATAATATGTACTGACAATGTATCATATGTAAGATAGTTATATGCATATCAACTAATTTAAATCTTTAAAACAACTCCATGAGATAAGCATTAGTATTAACCCTATTTTACAGTTGAAGAAATTGAGTCCCAAAAATAGTGAATAACTTTCAAAAATATACTGCTATTAAGGAAATGGCAAATCAGTTAACCTCCACAGCCCAATGTCTTAATCACTACTCTGTAAGAACATACTGACTTGGCTATGTATGATTAATGATTGCATTAAATCAATCTCACATTATTGAAATAAATACTATTATGTATATATCTGCTAGACTTAATTTTCTAATGTTTTATTTATGACTTATACATTCATTTTTATTAGAAAAATTATTATAAATATATATATATATATATAGAGAGAGAGAGAGATTAAGAAACAGGGAGAGATTCATGGCTTGGATACTATAATCTAAGATGCTCAGGTTCCTTATATAAAATGGCTCAGTATTTGCATATAATCTATGTGTACCTCTTGTATACTTTATTTCATCTCTAAATTGCTTATAATACTTATACAATGTAAATGGTATGTAAATTTCTGTTATGCTTTATTATTTTTATTTGCATTATTTTTTATAGTTATCTTGATTTTTTAAAATATTTTTGGTCTATGGTTGGTTAAATCCATGGATAAAAAGGGCCAACTGTATAGTCAGATTTTATACTCACAAACATATCAAAAAGAAGAAAGATTTAAATTATTCTCTTCCTAGAAGCCAAAGGTATTCCAAAATGTCATAGTGTCTTATTTATTCATAGTTATGGTGACTGAATAACAGTGATTTTACATGGCTTAATCAAAGTATTAAAATGGGGACTGCAGGTAGTTGTTTCCTAGAAAACATTTGCAATGCTTGCCTCGGAGAAAATTATGACAACTATAAAATTCCTTTGACTCTTGGCACAAAATCCATGGAATATTTTGTCAAGTGACATCTGTGCTATCTAAAACTATTCTTTCCAGACCTAACATTTCTTTGTTTCATACTCAGCATTCAATGTGATTACAAGGATATTTTTCACATTTTTTCATTCAAGCCAATGAAAACAAAAAGAACCTCCCAAAGACACTCAAGGTGTGCGGCAGAATTAGTTGTGTCCCTATGTAAAGTCCCTGCTAGGAAGGAGTGGTCTCTCATATACTTACAGTCAAAGATTGAAGTATTGTAGTCCTGTTTGCCAAGATAATTTTAAAGAAAAAATATATAATCCTTCTCCCACCAATCCTATACCTAGGAATCTATCCATAGTAGTTCCAGTCTTCAATAAAACAAGTTTAAATCAATATTAATCATAAATAAAAATATTTGGAAACAAAATAAGAGGTCTGAATAAATTATGTTACATACAGACTGTCCTTGATTAAACCTTGTATTAGGTTATATATGTTGCCTTTTCCTATATATGGCTAATGCCTAATAAACTTCGTCAGCCACCTCTAAGCCCTCTTCTCAACTATGCCTTGATAATGGCATTCATCCATGGCCTGCATTGCTAAGTTATAACAAGAACATTGATAAGTCTATTTAGCCAGAATCCCACCCTCAGTATTTGGTCACCCTTGATACTTGATCAAATTTGTCACCCCCACCATCACCCAGGTGACATATGATCACCCTGGCCTACCTTAAGCAAGAGTCCTATCAAGTCACTTTAGCCAGAATCCCCTCTTCCCCCTGATCTTTCTCCTAGTAATTTTGTATCCAGTAACTCCCATGCTGCTCCTTAGCTTTGAATCCCCAATTGTAGATACTATATTGGGAATTAAGTCCAGTTCTATACTGAGGTCTTTCCACCCTATTGCAATAGCTCCTGCATGATATATGATTTTATTGTTTTAATTGCTGTCTTGCTCTGGTATTCTTTGATAACATGATGTGGCATATTATTATATGATTAAATTATATATCAAATAGAGTATGCCAGGTGACTTGGAAGGATTTCCATGAGGCACTTTTGAGCAAGAATAGAAAGACTCAAGAAGGTGATTCATTTATATACAACTAGCCATAATGAATAAGATCCAGTGGATGTAAAAATATGTGTTTATGTATGTGTGTGCATATATCAGATTATGTTAGTAAGGAGAGAAATCTGAAAAGGAATGGTTTAACAAGAAGTAGAAGAGGAATACAAAGAGAGGGAATTTATGAGAGAGAAGAGCAAACAAATAGGGAAAAGGGAAAAAGAAACCATGCTGCCTTTATATAAAATTACATGTGTGTATGTATTTAAAAATCAAGTTAAAAGTTTTAAATAAAAAAGAAATCCCTTGTGATATATGTATACCATGGAGTACTACTCAGCCATAAAAACAATGGTGATCTAGCACTTCTTGTGTTATCCTGGATGGAGTTGGAGTCCATTCTCCTAAGTGAAGTATCACAAAAATGGAAAAACAAGCACCACATGTACTCACCATCAAACTAGTATTAATTGTTCAACACTTATGTTCGCATATAGTAGTCACATTCATCATGTGTCAGGCAGGTGGGATTGGAGAAGAGGGGATGGGTATATTCACACCTAATGTGTGCAGTGTGCACTGTCTGGGAGATGGGCACACTTATAGTTCTGACTCAGGTGGGGCAAAGGCAATATATGTAAACTAAACATCTGTACCCACGTAATATTCTGAAATAAAAATATATAAATCCCTAGACTTTTAAAAATGAAC